TATATAGCACCTAGGAAATGTTCATAAACGGCTCAGTATTGTCATTATGTGCCTTAAAAGGACTTCTGAAGATATGCGACCTTAATTTAAAAAAAAAAAAAAAAGCTAATGGTGAATCAACAGGCAGGAAGCTATACCTGAAAGGAAGGTGATGTTTATGTGTAGAGGGGCCTTCAGGATTAAAATACTTAGGCAGCCCTCCAGTTCCCCACAAGGCTGGCCCTGAGATGGTGGTTCTCCCCAGAGGGCAGGCTCTCTGAGGACAGGGGTCCTGTGTTTTTCAAACTGTTGAGAACGGTGCTCAGTCTGCCTAGGCAAGAGAAACAGAAATCTACTCTTCATGACTTCTATCAAGGAATGCTGGGAAACAGGATCAGTCTGTTCCTTCATTTTCAGAAAGAAGAGAGTGGAGAAAATGAGGGTACCAGGAGCAAAGTCAGGGGGAGCAGGAAGGTGTATATCTGTTCCCAAGGGCACATGGATCACATGGGAACTTATCTCCAGTGACCAGGAGATATAAGCAGGCCTGGGAGATCCAGTCCCGTAGTTATACAGCTAGTGGGTTTTGAGCACTTCCTGAGGTCCAGGCATTTTCCTATGCCCTTTGAGTGTATTACTTCACTTAATCTTCATATTAACTGAGATGTGGGCAAAACTGTTATTATTCCTATTTTATATGTGAGAAAACTGAGGCATGAAGAGGTTAAATCATATATCCAAGTTGGCACAGCTAGGAAGCTGCTAAGCTGAGATCCAAACCCAGATATTCTAGTCCACAACGCATGGCATCTCAATTCTAGTTTTCAGAAAGAAAATGCTGGAGTCAGGGTTGCACTAAGCTGTGAATTTCCCCAAATAACCCACACCCATCTAGTAAGAAAAAGTGAGACGCCCTAGCTGGTCCATACCTNCCCCAAATAACCCACACCCATCTAGTAAGAAAAAGTGAGACGCCCTAGCTGGTCCATACCTGCTGGTTGTGTAATACTTTCTTAACACAAGCTGCCTTATCTTCCCGTGAGACCACAGCATGATTCGGGCCTCGGGCCAGGTAGCAGTTTTGAGCATCGGCCACAGGCTTCCTGGTGCCATCGGGGCACAGCAACTCAAAGTCTTGTTCCTGCAGATTCTTAGCCCACGCATCAGGGTTTGCTCCTGGGGAGAGAAAGAAAGTGGATCCAGCCACACCTGATGGCTTTGATCCAGGTGCCCTCACTGGGGGGATGTGACCGACTGATCGACTGGTGTGTGGGAGACCTGGGCCCACACAGAAGTGCCCACATTGGTGTTACAGCAATGTGGAGAGGAAGTGTCCACAGGGTGACACTTGACTCACACTTACCAGATATTAATGGTGACCTCCCCTTCCAACCTTCCTCACCCAGCCAGGCGAGAGTGAACTATGTTCTGTGGATGTTCAAAATAATCATTTCTACTAAATTGCAAAGGCTTTTGTACTTCTTGCTCTGGCATAGGAAGAATGTGCTGCTCTAAGCCAGGTTTGTAACTTCTGTGCTATAGCATATGGCATCTCCAAACAAAAGAACTTTCCCTCAGAAGACACTTTTGAAATCTGCACCAACATTTTAACTCTGACTCCCTCATACTAGTTGTAAGTGAAAATGTGCACATGCTGATGTCGTACACAGGTCCGTATCCTGTCTCAGCCTATTGACTCATCTTCTCGGTATTCCCTCTGGAAAAAAAATCTCATCCATTCTCAGGGTTTCAGCTTCTTCCTCCTGAGACAGTTTTTAAGTACATTTTGCCAACTTTTATTTCTCTCCCATAATGCAAGATTGCAACCTTTTTTATTCATTCATTTTTTATTTAATTTTCTCTCTTTAATTGGTACATGAGATCACACTCATAAATTTTGGAATATATTGATATATAAACTAAAAGCCCTCCTTTCCTACACTCCCCAAATCTCACTGAGAGCTGTAGCTCTAATCCTTGATTATCACATTTGCATGTTTCTGTCCATGCCTTGTTATATGCATTTACCTATATGTATATATGGATGTTTCATGTTTACTATTTTGTTTAGTGTTGGACCCCAACAAACATAAAATTCTGTAGCTTTTTT